ACAGTGCAAACATCCTCTTCTTTATTTTGATTAGGGCGTGCTCTGTTGACATTTTCAACAGCCCCATAGGTGTGATTATTGCTCAAGTATCAGTAGATTAGGTTAATGGCTCAGCAGTGAAGTCAAGTGCATTTCTTCCTATATTCCCTGCATGTATTTTACTGTGTATTGGCGGCTAATGATACTGATTGTTTTGACCATTTTTTTTGTGTGTGTAAGCTCATTGGGGGAACCCTGTGATTTGTAAATAAGACTACACCAGCCTATCACATGTGTTTAATGAAACATGCAGCTCTGACAAAACTGTGTTGACTGTGAACTGTTGCCCTGAGGTTACTGTAATCAGTTTGTCTTGCAAGCAATTGGGATGGATGTGGGGAAATCTGCACATGCGCAGGCAGGTAGCCCGACAAAACCTCTCGCGCGCATACCTGAGCATCACTCCACCGAGTCGACAACAACTCTCCCCCTCCTCTACAATGTCCCCCATTCATACCAAACGTGAAACACTACTGGTCAACTTTGACTCGCTCATTAAGTAGACGATGCTTTGTTGATTCATCCAGAGCTCACAGACTGCAAACCTCCCCCCTTCCTCCTTCTCCTCCTTCTCCTCCTCCTCCTCCTCCTCCCCCCGCCGCCGTCCCTTCATATCTGACCCAAAGTGAAAGGAAGCCCCGTACTCACCTCCTAACATCGAAAGGCATGATGTTTGCACGTTTCTCGGGGGGAATAGCGGACAAAGCTACAAACAACGGGCAACCATACAGCTCTCTTCAATGCTACCGGTTGTTCATCGGTACCGGGCTGACGTCAGCTTAGGACGCTTTGCAAAAGCCGATTGGCTGACAGCTACTTCCGGTTCGCTCTGATTCTACTTCCGCCGGGAGCGGTGCAATTTTTATTTATTTTTTATTTTTGTTAATTTACGTTAAGAGATTAAGACATATTAATCTTAACGTTACCTATTGTCTAAGATTTAAAATGTAATAATAAATAAATAATAGAAACAAGGGACGACTTTTGATGTATCTTTTTTTAATTGTTTGTATTGTTTTATTGCCAAAAAATATACCGTACCGACTATACAGGCTTTATCTTATATTTGACTTACTAAGTAACTTAAATTACATGGAATTTATTTTATTTTCTTTCTCTTTTTACGAGAGAGTGGGTTATAATTTATAATAATAATATTCTAAGCCTTGTTTATTACATTAATTTGTTAGGGACCATATACACAAAACATTAATGTTATACATAGAGAAGAAATGCTTTGTATCACATTAAGTTGGTTAATGTCCATCTGTAATCCCTGACCAGCTGTTAAAAAGGCATCCTAAAAGTGTATAAACATAATAAATGCACAAAATAGTAGTCATACAGTACACATAATCCAATAAATAATAAACAGTATACATACGAGAATAAAACCATCCATTTAATTGATATATACTGTTTTTTTTAAAAGCTTTTCTCTAATTATTTACTCATTTGTGTACCCACTTGGTATGCAGCAAATTAACTAATAAATGCTTTATAACACACTATTATGTGTTTGAAAGCACATATTGGGGTATTTTCACGTGTTCATTAATGTGTTTGTTACTGTAACTCTAACTGATTGACAATATAATACAATATAATATAGTGTACTGTAGGCAGGCATTAATAAATTGTTATAAATAATTTAATAAATAAAAGTGTGTACACTGCTTAAAGTAGTGTTATCTAGGTTTTCCCAACTAGCTATTTATTAATTGCAGTGTATTAATGACTGCTTTTAAGTCTGTGATGTACTTGAGTTTGAGTGAACATTTGAGAAATAATAACAAGATACATAAGAAATTAAATAATTTAGGAGATAGTTCCTCATTACATTTTGGCTGAAATATGTTAATTAGCCCATATTTCAACCTTTCGCCCAGTGAGTACCTGCACATTCTTGCTGGTTACTATGTGGCCTCAAACAACAGGCGTTGTGTTGCCTTTATGAGAAAACTGCTGTTTGACAGTTTTGATTAAAGCTCCTGTGGTGACAACTAATTCCCCTGTTGGCCCCGACACACATCAACTACACTGCTCAGCTGATATTAAAAAAGGTTTTAGAACAGTGTTAGAAAAACCTGCAAATAATTCATCAACATGGATTACTTCAGTATGTGCAACAATGGAAAGAACTTGTAGTGCTTGTAAAGTTGCATTAGAATGAATTGATTGGTACATAAATCATTTTCAACAGAATCAACATTCAGAATTGTATAGTGTTTCTAATAAAAGTCTAGGTATTTGGGGCTGTATTACCATCACAACTCAGAAACAGAGAGCTATACGTCATGCTGTGGTGTGGTTGAAAAATGTATCTTTTTTTTTTTGTGTCCCCAAACTCATATATACTTGAAACGAAACATTTTTTTTTCCTTTTTTTGCAAATTACTTGTCTGTTGTGTTCTGACACTATAAGCCAGGATAGACCCTGTGTTTTCCCACTGATGGCTCAGCTGTTGCCCGTAGTGACAATGACAGTAAACAGGCAGGGATGACAGCAAGCGACAGTAAGGCCTGACCACAGGAAATGCCTCTTTGTCATCCTCTGTTTCACTTCCCTTTCTGGATGAGAGCTACGGTTGGTTATGGGCCATAATTATGGGAATCCAAAACAGAGTGAAAAACACAGGCTCTATTTTCAGACCTCAATTTCAATATTCGGTCACACACAGCGCAGACACACACATACACATTGTTGTGTTACTGAAATGTACGTTTTGGTTTCTGACTTTCTTGAAAAAATTTGCTGATCAACAAGACGAAACAGCTTAAGAGAAAATATGGTTTAGCCAGTTGAACTTTTGGTAATATGTTTGTAGAACATTTTGGAAAGCACCAATATCACAGGGGAAAGTGGCAGCTGTTGTGAATATACAGGAAAGGGGGTAACTTAGGAGGAGGGAAAGGGAGCGTTTTCTATTTCGTGGGAATACACAATTGCTTCATATGTACTCTCTGTCTTTGTTCCCCCCTTCATCTTAAATTGCAGCACCGAAACTTTCATCATGACTGGATGCTTTTACAGTGAGGACAAGTTGTTTAGTACAGACTGTTTTGAGAGCCCGTTTGACCCCCCCTCCCCTGTATGGTGTGTAACATTCCTGCATGTGCCTCTCAGTTGACTCATCTCACAGGAGTGTGAGGTTAAACTAGCTGGTTAGTTTTTGCACTCGGTTGTGATTGGTTAAATTTCTGTCCTCTGAGCCTCTCCTCCCCCTCTTCCTTTCTCACATAACACGTCTGAAATAAAATAGTGGGTCAAACAGAATGGATGTGGATTCAATGGGCTGAAAGTCCTGACACTTGTTCAGGTTACAGTAAAGTGAGAACTACATCACAGCCTATGTAGTGTATGTCAGACTGATCTTTTGAAGCAATACACACTGTAAAACTCACATACAGCATGATATTGTAGTTACTTAATTCTAAATATACATATATTAGATGTTTGGGGCAACAGGACAACATAACCTGTTCATAATGTGGTACTGTTGAGCTGAAACTCAAATGGGATTTTGAATGGAAGGCAATGTCACCTGGTTTTAAGTTTGCTTAGTAAACATTTGTTTCACAACAAAACAACCTCGGCGTGTCACTCATGCAGTTTCAACCCACCCTCCTGTCAGTGTAGACGCCTGTTGTAATGATCCTCCTGCTTCCTTATTATGAGACAGCAGTGTTGCCCACTCTGAGTCAGCAAACCATACAAACAAACGAAAAGGGTTTCCCAGAGTGATTGTAATTGTGTTTGCTTTTTAATATATATAGTCCTTCTCTGATTTTTGCGGGGAAAGAAGAACACCTCAATTAGGTCACAAATGAAACAAAACTGACAGGTCAAGAGATCTCCATCTGCTGTTGTCTTCCTGGTAGATCAGTGTTTTGTTTCTCAGCATGTGGAAATTTACTGGACTTCAGATTTCTATACAGTGATTAACTTTTATGGTTAGCCTTTGCTCTCGGGGCATTGAACACTATGTACCTCTGACTAATAAAAACAAAGAATAAACTTTTATGGCCCCCATGGCAGATATTTACTTAGGTTATTATCTTGTTATTTGTCAACTCTCAGGTGAAGAGGCAAAATAGAAATCTAATTAAACACTAACATCATGGAAAATTTGGCAAATTCCTTATTTGCTGACATGCAGACATTGTACACAAACACTTAAAATTAGGAAACATAAGGTGAGTTATATGAGTATGATACAAGAAACACAGTCTCACGTTGTAAACTTGCTTGGCACAGCATGACCGGAGTACGTGCGGTACGCTTGTACAGAAATGTTCCGCAACTGCGCGTGCCCCGTTTTTTTTCTTGTTTTGTTTTTTTTTTAAAACTTTATTTATTGCACACATGTTTTTATACAGAGGTGCAAAAATATGCACAGAGAGTAAAGGTGTGTGGGGGGGGGACAACAGAAAAAAAGAAGACGAAATCAAACAAAACAATGCAACAACTCTGTGTTGTTATATAAGCAGCATATTATAATCATTAACTAACTTTATTTGTTTTCTATATTAGATAATATGGTGCTAAACTGTTTGATATAGTGCAGGGAAGTTGGCTTAGTTCCCGTTTACCATTTTTTTTCCCTTATACATATGGAATTTACCAACAATAATAAATAGTTAATATGATTAAACAGCATGTTATGTTTCATATTATTTGGACTACTATCAAACATAATAATTTTAAAATGTACCTTAAGTTTATTTATAGATGAAGTCTGCTACAGCAACCTCCAGAACATTCTTGTATATACACTGAAAAAGTATCCGGGACTGCGCATGTCCGCGCTACCCGGAGGGGGAGGGGAGAGGGGGGGGGGGGGGGGAGGGGGGGACGATGACGTCCGCTGTGGCTGGCAGGAAGCCAAGAGGGCGGTCGCCTGACGTCAGTGGCCTCTCATTCACAAGCACGAGCCGTATATAAGCGGTTTTCATACCGCTCAGAGGCAGAAGCTACTCACTGTAAACCTGAAGAGATTAAAACTTTTAAAAGAATAAACAAAACTACCGGATACACTCGAGAAGAAGAAAGGACCAACTTAGATAGTCTTAAAACTTTTTTTTTTCTTTTTTTCTCTAAAGAAGCAAACCGGAACAAAGGACTCGCCGCTTTAAAGATTACTTTAAGGAGGGAAAAACAACCTAAACTTCTTGTTTTCCTGCCGTACAAGCTTTATGTATTTGGATTTAATATTTCTGTCCCGCCGTCCTACTATGGTCATAATGGAGGTTCCCACCATCAACTCTGCGTCCGTCCGTGGGTTGTTGGAGGACGACGTCCCGGGCTGCCTGGTGCTGGACTGCCGCTCCTTCCTGTCCTTCAACTCGTCCCACATATCGGGCTCCACCAACGTGCGCTTCAGCACCATAGTGCGCCGGAGAGCCAGGGGTGGCCTGGGACTGGAGCACATCGTCCCCAACGAGGACACCAGGAACCGGCTCCTGTCCGGGGAGTACCAGTCGGTGGTGTTGCTTGACGACCGCAGTTTGGACTTAAGCCACGCGAAGAAAGACGGGACGTTGATGCTCGCTGTTTCAGCCCTGTGTCGCGACCCCTGCGGAGCCAATGTTTTTATCCTCAAAGGTAAGACAAGAAAAGTTTAATGTTTTTTAAAAGAAAAAAACAAACAAACAAACAGCCGCACACAATAGTTTCACTGTTTCCTAACAACGGGGCAACAAATGCGGCTTACAGCTGTCACCATACCAGCTGGTGCTGGTGTAAACAATGTTTCAAAATAGCCCCATGAGCAGTTGTCACCTTTTTGGAGACCCATATTTAAACGTGTCTGTGTCTCTCTGATGTCCTGTGATCTGACCTAAAGTGTCATTTTCTTCCTTTTTTTTTGTTCTCCAGGCGGATTTGACACATTTTCTACAGAGTACCCAGAGATGTGTACCAAGCCCTCCCCTCCGCAAGGGCTAAGTTTGCCGCTGAGCTCCGGCCATCCTGGGAGTGCAGACCCAAGCTGCAGTCCATGCAATACTCCTCTATATGACCAGGTTTGTGTCTCTTGTTTCATAACCAGATTGAGTACGCAACATGCTCTGTTAATTCCTCACTTCCTGTTGTAGTGTTTTGGAGTTGACTGAATGGGGGTTGTTTGTTTATTTTGTTTTCTTTAGGGTGGTCCCGTGGAGATCCTGCCTTTTCTGTACCTTGGCAGTGCTTATCATGCTTCTAGGAAAGACATGCTGGACATGCTGGGGATCACCGCTCTGATCAACGTCTCTGCCAACTGCCCCAACCACTTCGAGGACTCCTTCCTCTACAAGAGCATCCCCGTCGAGGACAACCACAAGGCAGACATCAGCTCCTGGTTCAACGAGGCTATCGAGTTTATCGGTGAGTACATCCACCGTTTTTATTCCCTCAAACTGCCAAATGTGAGCCCCTATCACAGCTGCTACCTCCTGAGCCCGTCGATAGAAAGCAACACAAACACCCAACCCCTCCCTCCCTCCCCCCTCCCTCTCTTCCTTCACTTCACTCTTTGACTCCTGGATTTAAATTTTAAAAAGTTCCCTCCAAAAACGACCAGCTGGCTCGGCACAGGCTCTCCACTCCACCACAATGGTGGTTACATCATCGCCACCCCTGAGGCATAGAAAAAGGGACCCCCCCCATTTTAATGAAATGCGAGGCAGCGGCCCCAAACTAGTTTTGTAGTGGATAGGCTGGCTGTGCTTGAATGGCTCTCTCCACGCCACTCTTTGTTCTGGTTGAACAAAAGGCAATTTCTCCTCACTCACTGTCGGCCTTCCTCCCAGATCAATACCCCCAGCAGGGGTCTGTTCCCCTTCTTTGTCCATTCAGACTGCCTCCTTTGGGAATAACCCCCAAGCTCACACCCTGCACCCCTATTAACTGTGTTCCTGTGTCTTAATGAGCGCTGTTGAATTTAAATAGCAACTGAAAGTGTTGCAAAGACTTTTGTGTTTTTGCCTTCCTGTGACAGGCAGAGTTTTAACCTCCACTCTTTGCTAATACATTGCATCACCTGATAAGAGTGTACTAATGTTGCTTTCTCTTCTCTTTGCCCCCCCCCTCAGACTCGGTGAGGAATAAAGGAGGTCGTGTGTTTGTGCACTGTCAAGCAGGCATCTCCCGCTCCGCCACAATTTGCCTTGCATACCTCATGCGGACCAACCGCGTGAAACTGGACGAGGCCTTTGAGTTTGTCAAGCAGCGTCGCAGCATCATCTCCCCCAACTTTAGCTTCATGGGTCAGCTCCTCCAGTTCGAGTCCCAGGTCTTGGCCTCGTCTACCTGCTCCTCAGAGGCGGGCAGTCCAGCCATCGGCAACAGCAGCACAGTCTTCAATTTCCCAGTCTCCATCCCCGTACACACGTCAGCTGGTCAGCTCTCGTTCCTCCACAGTCCCATCACCACCTCTCCCAGCTGCTGAGGAAGATGTGGGGGGGAAGCACAGACTTAGTTTGGACTTGAACTGCAACTCACAAGTGACTCTGCAAAGAGCACTGCACAAAACATGGTCCTGATTACAATTCATTTTGGGTGATACTGGTATCACTGGACAGGATGGGAGCTAGTGTTTGGGGTCAGTTCGTTTGACTCTGCGTTATGCTGGCCAGATCCCTGTAGGTTGGCCTCATCATTACAAAGGGAGCTTAAACTACCATCAGGCAGTATTCATGTTTAACCTCCAAAATGTGAAAGTCATCCACAGTTTTAATCCTAGATGACTTGGGGAAATGGCTGAAAAGGTAGTTGAGATTATTCCTGTCGAGGAAGTTAGAAGTATCTGAATATTCTTTATTCAAAGGACTGATTTTTTTTTTTTTTTCATGAAGGCAACTGCTTTTGATAATCATAATCATTTTGTAAGCAAACAAAATAGAGAGGGCTAACAGTTGTCTCAGGAATGTTGACTTGGTCCTCTCAAATGTCCATTTTGCTTTCTGTACTGGTGAAAGAAAGCAATATATTGCCCAACATGGCAAGGATGTTACTCCTTCATTTGACGAACAATGAATGTATCCCCCCTTCCCTCTTTTCAGTGTAGATGTGGCAGAAATCTTCATGTTCAGTTTGAGAGTTGAATGGGGTTGCCAATTCAAATGCAAATACCTGCCTTTCAAGACATCATGAAACCTTGACGATCCTGACACATTGGGGAAACGGACCATTAAATACCTCATGTTTATGTACTGTGTACTGCAGCGCTGAGACGGACACAACCCCAAAACTACTAAAATGGGGACACGTAGTCCTCAGTGACTGCATTCTGACATATTTATTGAACTAAAGTAATATATTTCTTTATCATATCTATTTTTGCATATGTTTGTTTAAATGTTGTTTTTATACTGTTTAATAAATCTCATTTGACTTTTGTACTTACTTTTATACTGATTTTCTCTTTCTCGGCTTTCATCTTATAGCTGACAATAAGATTTATTCACCAGTGGCCAATATTGCACAATGAACTTCAAGCAAATAATACATTTAGAACACACCGATTTACGACCACATATATACTAATAATGCCTTGTAACAACAACAACAGATTTATCTTTCTCTAAAGTGACATCTTGAGGTTATAAATCTACCTACTAGTGCAAAATATAGGCTTCATAAGCTTACTGTCTCCCAAATTAAATTATGTTGTTTTAGATCAAGTCTGTGTTTTCATTCATGGCCAGCAACACAAAACTTGAAGTCTGTACTTAACCACTTCCATTATTGATTAATTTGGGATTTTTTCTTGAATAATAAAAAAGAACACCATCACCACAAACAAAGCTCAAGTTGATATTCAAATTGCTTCTTATGTCCAACCAACAGTCCAAACCTAAGAGAAGTTATCTAATATTTTCGAAAACTAATGAAATCAGCAAATATTATCATTTGGAATTCAAGGTGTGAAATCTTCAGAATTTTTTCTTTAAATTATTTAATCAATTAATTATCAAAATTGTGTTTTGTTGCTAATGGAGACTATAAAGAGGAGAAGAGAAGAAAGAAACATTTAAAATGCTCCTCAACAAAGCTGAAGTGAAACTGGCATGTCAGAAATATATATGTGCACATCCTTCCGTGTTTTTTTTCCCCATGCAACGGAATCCTATAATATATCTGCATAAGGATTTTGCCGACATAAGAAGCATGATGTCATGGCGTCTGCCATTGTTCGGGCCACACTCCCTTTCTATGAACCCATCTGAGACCAGGGCAACAGCAGGAGGCCTAAAGAATCAGCTAAGGAGCCCTCCCTCTGCGGCCACAATAGGAGCAGCTGCAAGGCGTTTGGGAAAAGTGTGACAACTAAAGAGCATTCAGGGCTCAGTCAAGCACTGGCCTTGTGTCCACCCCTCCCCACCCACCCCCCTGCCTCACACGCCAATGGGGAGGTGGAGACGGAGACGGCCGTGAAAAGGAAAAGGAATATGTTTGGGTTGCAAATTAGTCAAAACATTGACTATGACCTGGGGTGGGGTGTGAGAAAAAAAAGAGGAAAAACTTTCTCCAGAGGTGATAATGATGATACCCTCAAGGTCTTCACCAGAAAACAACTGTCTGCATTTAATGAAGCTACACTTTAAATACATATATTCTGACAAATGACGGAAATTATTGTATTTTTCAAACTGATATCCACTTCTTATCTGAAGGCAACGCAAATGTTTGTCTTGTGAAAGAAAACATCACCAGTGACGATGCCTCTGCGATGAAAGGCTCATTCATTACTTCACCAGCTCCTTGCACAAGCTGTGGTTTTGGTGACATATGTGCAACTCACCCCCCTTAACCAGCCCACCCGTCTTTGTGTCTTTAGATTTCCTGTTGTCAGAAGGGGAGGCTTGCCGGAGTGTGTGTTTGTCTGTATGTGTGTGAAAGTCGTCAGGCATCTTTTATGATCTGATGAGGGTGCTTTGAAAAAAAAAAAAAAAAAAAAAAGCCCTCAGTCAATTGCCAGGTCAGGGACATTAAAGCGTTGGGATTTTAAGTGTGTGTGTGAGACAATTTGAATGTGGTGTGAGACAATGTCAAGGTGCTATCAAAATGAGGCTGGATCCTGAAACAAGACAGTTATTTTTGACTGGTTTGTGTAAAAATAACACACAAAAAACAGAAAGGACATACTTGCTCAAGTTTACTTCTCCTCCTGCATTTCTCATCACATCCTCAAATTTTCAGTCGGACAGAATTGACCACAATGTAATATGCCAGTTTCACTATGTTGTCAATTGGCTGTTTCATTTAGCAACTGAGCTCTGACTCGACTTCAAAGTGATTTTAATTAACACAATCCTAAGGAAACAATGGTTATATCATGTGTCAGACCCGGCTGCCATCACAGGAAGAGACATAATCCCACCCATCTCTTTTATAACATCATCCAGCTTGGACCAAATATGTTGGAGTTGATTTAAATTTCATGACTTTTTCAGATATGTAACCCTTCTTTAATTTGACATATTTGATTTGAATTATGTCACATATACCCAAAATGTTCCATTTAAACATTCACATAGGATCAAATGACTCTCTGTAATATGAAAGGTAAAAGCTTGCTCACAGTCTCGCAAGAAAAGAATCATAAAAGATCATCATCATCATCACTAGAAAACAATATCACACCCTTATCTCCAGATCAATGCATCTTTCATTTTCATCTCTACTTCCTGGTTGAGGCATTAAGATTGCATTGTATATACCTGTGGTAAGAATTGATTTATATTTATGGTAGAATATTACATGTTAACTGCCATATCAATGTCACTACATTTTATAAATGAGTCCAGTGTGTGCTGGATCAGGGAGTAATGTAAGTTAATTTGCAAAGAAATGATTTGTTATTTTGTCTCGTTCACTTTGTGGCCAGAAGGTTTACAGTTTGAACCACAGATGGCTGTGCTTGATCACAAAGCACACATTTGCCTAGCATTACTGAAAAGGAAAACAAGAGCCCTTTATCCCCCCTGCTCGATGCTGTTTTAATATCATCAAACAAAAAATGTGTCATAGAAACACAAGATAACTAAATAGTTCAGGCAGTCCAATAACAGCTTATGTGGTTTCCTTGCAGCCCAGTTATCTGGTGGTGAATGCATGCCAAATGTTACGTGACACATTTTGAAGAGACGGTGACCGCACTATAAGCTCCATTTTTATTTTTATCACAAATGTTTTAACTCATTTTGGACTTTTTCAAGGCAGGTTTAACACAAATGTAAGATCGTCTTCTCCTCAAGATGTTGGGTTGAGGAACTTAAGCATACAGATATCAGACTTCAGTTTGTTTTAATAACTGTATGTTCCTCTGGCTCTCACTCACCCTCTACCCCAATAGGCTTTTTTTTTAATTTTGAGGTGTCACAGTAGGTAAAATGAATCGTAGCTCAACTTCATTTAGGAGTTTTACTTTCAGGCTCCTGATATCGTGCATGTTTCCCCTTCTTTGACACGTCAAGACGTCTGCTGTAAAAAAGGCCTGTAGCCGGAGAACACACCAGAAGATTGTGCAGATTGTGCTACCAGTGAGAGAGCTGAAGTAAACAAATGGTTGGTGAAAGTTCAACAGCTAACAAGCAAAACAGATACAGATTAACAGATATTTTCCTCTGGAGTTGGCAGAGTTGAATCGGTACGTTACACTGACTGGTCACAAGAAAGAGGTCTCTATTTGTTGTTATGTTTCTACTGAATGTCTAACTATCATTAGGAAAGAGCTTGCTACTACGTTAGCCATAAAAACTGTTGATACAGCTTATCAAGACTCTTTTTATGGAGTCAACTATCTGCCCTGTAGATACTGTAGCTTCTGCATTCAATCCGCTACGAACATGTCTGAGTAGGGAAGTTGTTTTTCTAATTGAAAGTAGAGAAATGGTTTTGTGATCGATAACGTAGTTCAGGAATGCACCACACCAGCTGACGGTATAGGTCGAGTAACTCTGACGAAAAATAAAACCAAACGTCAAATTAGAATTGTCTCTGCTTACCGACTGACATGGGAAGTTGACGCACAGACACCGACATGAAATGTTTCGGCACGACAGATAAAACAACAAGACAAGACCACAACCTCGTTCACTAAATTTAACACAACATCCTGTGTGAGAGGGGCTAAAGTGTGAATGTGATTGCCAGACTGATTACTGGAGGATGCTGGGTAATTACACATCTAACACTTCACCATACCTTGAAACTAGATTAAGTCTCTCTCTCTCACACACACACCCATTCTCACAAACACACACAATATCCTGAGTGAGAAGATTTAGTCCACACATTGATGTCATGGCAGAATGCTCACCTGCAGTAAGGCTGGTAAGAGGATTATGACTGTGACGGGGAGGCCTCTGTAATGCCCCGTGGCTGAAGTGTTCTACTGGCTTAAGTGAGTGTAGACACACACACACAGTCTGCTGTGCCAAATGCCGAACCTCATGTGGGCATTGTCATATGGTCAACATGTAAAAGAGGTCAGTGTGTCGAAGCCAAAAGCTTTCAAAGGATAAATTAACTCAGCATTATACGTACCATGTTCAAAAAGGGATAAAGCGAGAAAGAGATGGAGAATTGCGTGATAAGCTGCAATGCATTTTCAAACTTTTTTCCGGCACTGCTGATAAAAAAAAAACCCACGCCTCTACCAAACCTTCTGTATTCCTGACATTCCAGAGCAAAGCTCTATCAGAAACCCTTCGAAAGAAGCCAGACAAGACGCAGTTGCGTGACAGGGGCCGAGATAAAGCCAGATGACTGACATGATAGCCAAAGAGTTGTATAGTTCAAGGAATGTCAGGACATTACGTATGGCTGCAAGTGAAGTGGCTTTTCCTTGCCAGCAGGGCTCCCCTTCCTTTAACAACCCTGTCTGGAATGTCCGAAGATGGTGGGAGAGAAACTATGTCGGCCCTAAATGCAAGCAGTGTTGTATCATTCAGGCCATCTCTACAGAAGTTGTATAACATTAATCTCACATTGTGTTCTCTTTCCAGATAAGAGAGGTTCTGCTGCACCTTGAAGGGGCAACATAAATTCTCTAACAATATGTTGTAAAGTTTAAAAAAAACAACAACAAAAAAACATGGCGATGTGCAGAAGTAACAACTTTTAATTGCTCATAATCATAAAAACGCATCAGATATTTGAACGATAGCCAGATATAAGACACATATCAATCCCCCCAGAGCCTCATTCACCACTGAAGTCTGAACAGAGCCTGTATTTTTCCACTCACTGGAGGTACGGGGTTGTGTTCACAAGCAGAAGTGAGATCCTGTGTGGAGTATTCGAGGAATGTCTGGCATCCTGTCTTCCACACTGACTGCGCTCTGTGTAGATGATGTCACACCCAAAAGAACATACATATGAGCGGACATAAATC